CCCCCCCCATTTAGGAATGTCTCGTTAAAAATGGAAAACGTTGCTGATCAGGTTTTCAGTGAAAACAACCCAATGAAGCCTGGGTAGAGGTAGAAAACCAGCCACCGCCATTTTCTTCCGAGTTTTTCAAAGCGGGGAGGCCAGTGGAGACACGTCAGAGTGGGTGAGACAGACACCTGTCAGGGATGGTCTAGATCGGGGGTGGGGAACCTCAGGCGGCCTCCGACTTGCCCGGCTCCGACCCCGGAGGCTCAGGGCTCCCCTCCCCCAGCACTGGGGAGGCCGGGCTGGTGGCCCAGCCCCACTGCCACCTCCCCGTGGGGCTGGAGCACCCAGGACCTACTGGGTGCAAGGGGAATGTGGGGAGGGTCTTTCTCCTTCTCAGTCAGGGGCCACGTCAGTGAGGGCTTGGGTTGGGGGTTTTTCGCTTCTCACTTGTGTGCGGCCCCTAACTGATTTTTCTGTGGTTCAGAGGCCCCTCCCCCAACACAAAAACGTTCCCCAGCCCTGATCTAGACAGTGCCGGGTCCTGCCGCGCGGGCAGGGGACGGGACAGGACGGGTCCTCTCGAGGGCCCTTCCAGTTCTAGTGTGCTAGGGTTCTATGAAAGTCTTGGAGAAAGGCGCCCATCTCACAGGCCAGCAAACTGAGGCACAGAGCGGCTAAGCCGCACGCTCGGTGTGACGTAGCGGGGGTGCTGTCTCCTTTTGTACTCCCATGTTTGCTCTGGTGTTGCGTTCACCGTTTGTCTTGTGGAGTTCTGTGTGATCCTACTGCCCTGTGCTGCTCTACAGTGACGCTGTAGGTGGGCGGGTGCCTCAGTTTACCCAGGCCCTGCAGCACTAGCTGCATGAGGCGGGGGAGGCTGGGTGTGACTCACTGGGGAAGTATGTGCCGTCTCTCCGCTAATGAGGAGAGGAGACTGGGAGCAGGAAAGGGGGGTTCAGGGCCCGTGAGCCCTGAGGAATGAGGCATCTGCTCTCGGTGCCTGTGCTAACATCGCTCCTACGCTGCGCTGTGCCGCTGAGAAGCAGGAAGTGCTTCCACTCTACTGGCCGGTTGTGAATCACCTCTGGCTGCGGATGGGGGGGCGGGGGGGGGGGCGCCCCGCCCCGCCGCACTCCCCGCCACGCCGTCACACACAGGAGCCCCGGCGCCCCGCCCCGCCCCCTGGGGTGCGTATGGGGTGTGCTGGGTGTGGCCAGGCACACTCTAATGTCCTAGGGTTGCCAGGTGTCTGGTTTTCTACCAGACAGTCCAGTTTTTTGGGGCTCTGTCTGGTAAAAAAAATCCAGAAAATACCAGACATGTGCAATGTCCGGCATTTTGTGGTTTTCCGACCGGGCACCCAGAAGCCTGGCGGGGGGCGTGGCTGGGAGGGGG